TTCTAGGTGCTCCCCTAAAGTCTTTCTTACCCCACTCCCTAAACTCTATTGAGTAGAGAAGAATGTTCTTTGTAAATGTCTATGTTTGTTATGGTTTTAATGTACATAGTATATCAGTAGAACAGGGTGTATGAGTTTATAAATAAATACGCTGAGGGGCATGCTCAGAAAGCTTTACTAATGAGGTCAAAGAGCACAAAGGTTTGGAGACCACTGCCTAAGTACGGATGATCTGGGGTGTCTCCAAACATGTAAAGGACTTTTATTTTTAAAAAAACACAAATATACTCTGTACATTTGATACTATAAAATGGAAATGATATTCCACAAACACTTTCAAGAGACGAGAAGGAAGTTACAGAACCAAAGGAGTGAACACACTGGGGCCACACCCTCAGTTCCCAGGCCCAGCCTCAGGTGGCACAACCCACCTGAGAATAAGCCAGAAGCGAGGACAAAGGTCAACATGACTTCAGTGCCTCCTGCACCAGCCACTAGGATGTCCACAGACCATCTTACCCCACAGATTTATTTGTTCTGGGTTCAAACCTGCAGCCCTTTGGATTGTTTTAGTAAGGTGCCACCACCCAGAAAACTTGCAGTGTGCCTGACGCATCTCTAACACAGCCATCCCACATGGCTGCCCGAAGCGCCAGCGTCTGTTCATCTTTCCTTCTCTCCTCCCACTCAGTGAAATTCAAATGCCTCCAGATGAAGGGCTCGGATCCTCATCTTTTCAGCCACCACCACCAAGGAACCATCACCCTCATCAAAGGTGGAGGTGTCAGACACTCAACACGACGCAGATCCCTGGGAAAAACATCCGTGTACAGTGAGCACGACCCCGCGAGACGCATTACTTGAGGTAAAACCATTCTGTGACAGAAGTAACGCAACATGCTGCCCCTACAAAGCAGAGATCCCTTGAAAATTTGAGCATTAGCTTTAGTCTTATTGCTGCAAAAAATCTCAGATATAATTCATTAAAGATAAAAATACAATCATTTGGACATAGTCCATGTTGTAATAAGCCAAACGTGCTCCCCTGTGGGAGGACAGAAGCCAATATGAGAGAACACTTCCAGTTCTGAGCAACTGTTAAAAAGAAAAGTCCACAGATTATTTTTTTGAAAGAGGAGGGAGGTAGCAGACATCCAAAGCATTGCTCTTTTCTAGCCCTCCAATTATATTACATTCCCTCTGCTGTCTGTTTAGCCACTGCTGATTTACTTGGCAATTCAGGAGCTGAATCCTATTGTTTTTAAAGCTATGGGGTAACTTTTTTAATACTAAAGAAGGAAAAAGGTTTAAATTTTACTGATTAATCCAAGTTACTCTATTCTAGAGCCAAAGGTCGGGGGCGGGGGGGAGATGCTTGTCAATGGGGGGGTTAATTAGTCACATTTAGTAATACTACTTTTCATAAAATGAAATATCATCATAAATATATATTGCTCTACAGTTAGTGAATTGTTTCAAAATAATTAAAGCTGTAATTAGGGAAAATAGCAATTGAGAAATATTCAAGGCTACCAAGTTCATTGCTGAAAATACTTCGTTGTGCTCAGAACACCAACGCACCGTACCAGCCTTTTGCTCTAGAGGACTTGTTTCCCTACCGAGATGATCAGGCGTGTTGGTGCTGGCTGGATCACATCGATAAGTTATTTGTTTCTTTATTGCAATGGTCCTCTTTATTTGCCTACAAATTTGAACTTTAGGGGCAGTAATCCTCTTGAAATTTGAGCATTCTAATTTGTCACGGTCTAGCCAGCAGCAGAGGCTTCAGAGAGCTTTGGTCTGGGGACAGGTTCCTGGCTTTGGCAAAAGCCAGAATGATTGAGGAGGTCACAACTTCAGCCCCGAAACAGTGAGATGCTTTCTTTCTGGGTATTTTTCAGTATTCTCGTAACCTTCCCTAAGGTGCAAGGCCAATGTGTTGCTGGTTCCAGTTAACATATCTTAAAGATTAAAGGACTAAATACCTTTAAGATACTCTTTAAAGTTAGGGACTAAAACCTAAGTTTCTGGTAAGAGATGTAGTGAGGAAAACCCCACACGTGTTTGCATTTGCTCCTGGCACTAGCAAGAGATCTGCAGGCAAGAGAAGCCTCCTGCCCCCACCACCACCACCAAGGGGGTCCTTTTGAACTTGGCCAGTTTCAGCCAGGCCACTGGAAGCAAGTGAGTAAGGGTCAAGCACTCCACAGCCACAGGTAACGGACCCCCTAACCTGTGACAGATGGGTTGCCAGGGTTCAGCATTTTGACTCAAGAAGCATTTGTTATTGAATGTACTTTCATCAGTCCTTGTCATTTTAGACAGCATAGCATTTAAAGGAAAACAAAGGACCCTGGGTCATAGCCAGGAGCAAAGAAAGTAGGTTCACCGAATTAAAAAAAAAAAAAAGAAGGTGGTGGGAAGGAAGGAGGAGAGGAAGAACCTGAGTTGTACAATATCAACAAAGGGCACCATCCTTTTATTGCAAATATGCTCAACAATTGTTCTATTAATTAATCAATTAATAATTTAATTAATTAATTAATGCAGAAGAACCTGATTGTGCAGAACTTTTTCCTCTAAGGAAAAATCCAGTCTCTTCTCTGCCCCTTAAGCCCCAGGCTGGTCAGCCTACCCAAGCAGAAGCTCCCCTGGCCCTTGAACTGATTTTGAGAAATCAACCTTTTGGATGATTAGAAGACAGAAGACAACAATGATGGCAACAAAACCTTGCCACTTTCAAAATGCCAAATTTATGCAAATAAAGTTATTTTTCTCAGTTAACGTGAGATACCGCTTCTTCCTCCCCTGTCACTCAACACACTCTCCTCGTGGATAACGAGAGAGATTCTTTTGCCTGCACCTCTCGTTGCAATTTGTCTCCTCTCTAGCCACGTTTAAAGGCGAGAAAGAACAAACACTAACAACGGTAAATTTTAAAGACTCTTTAGAAGGTTTCTTCAACTGTGGTCTATGAACCCTCTAAGGAATCCACCGATAATTTCCAGATGTCTTTAAATCTCCTGAACTTCTATGTAAAATCTCATATATTCGCATCTATGTACTTTTCTGGGACGAGGGCATAGGACCTTCATTAGGTTATTGATGGAGGCACAAAACATTAAAAGCCACTATTTTCTAGCGTATGGCCATCTTTTTGGGCACAGCTTTCCCCTGCAGCCTTCAAGGAAGGAAATGACGGGTGCCATGTTTCTAGAGGAAGGGGAGATTATAATGAGCTGAGACCTCGTCTTGCAGAACAGACGAAGCTGGGCCTTGAGAGGTGTGTGTGACCTGGGCAGATGGAGAGGAAGGGCAGGCACTGCAGAGAGGGGCTGGCGTGAGCAGAGGCACAGAGTAGGACACATGAGGCATGTTTGGGCAAAGGCAAATGGACCAACCTGGATGCACTGGATGGCTCACATGGAGGAGTCCCAGGACACCAGATGAATAAAGAGAGAATGGCAGGCCTGAAGGAATATCTTATCCTGAAGCAATACGGTGCCCTATGAGAGCTTTGCAGAAATATTAATGTGGTGATGGGTGGAATGGATCAGGGAAGTGGCCAAGCATGTAAGAGAGGCTATGGAAGAAGTTTAGGCAAAAAGAGAATACCCTCAAATCAGGGTGCCATGTCTGTTCTGTCCACACTCCATATCCAGCGTGGATCCAGGGTCAGGCACAGGGTAAGTGGCTGTCACTTATCAGTGAGTAACTAAATAGCCAATGGGAGGGCATATGGACATGGATTCCTTAAGAGATATAATTCAAGAATGAGGAGTCTTGGTGACTTGGATGCCCATCTTGGCATCACTCACAGAGCCTGGCAGTGCCTTGCACAGAGCAGATTCTGAAGAAAGATCCCTTGAAGTAGCCTGGACCAGGCTGAACAGATACAGGGGACAAGAGCGGAGGATTCCAAGTACTCTCTCTCTGAGAGAGGCCAGGGATGTGCTGGTTCTAGGAAATGGAATGACCTCTCAGGGAGGTGGGTTTTAAAAAGAAACCAAGCCAAGCTCATGTAGTGGCAAGACCACGTAAGGCAAGATGAAAGATCTCCATTTTGGGTCTGCCCTCCAAACAAATATGACTTTCTAGAGCTAATCCATGGCCCAGCTATCCATTTCTATGAGTCTACACTTTCTCTCAAAGTGAGCGAGAACCTGGAGGCTACAATCCTTAACGCTTCCTTTCCTTGAACACTAGCTGTTTCAACAACACCTTTCCTCAGACCTCGGGACACACAGGCAGGGCTCACTTGGGGACCAGACTGCAGTTGTGACTCAAGTCCAGTTGTTCTAAGTCTACGATCAGTCAGCTGGGGAGCCCGTGGCCTTGGTAGTGTCGCTATTCACAAGTCATTATGTTACAACAATAAATGAGGACCTCTGACAATACAGTTCACCTATGCATAAATTTAAATCACCCTCATATCTACTCTGACAAAGCAAATGCTGAGCAGAATGCTGCTGCTCCTTCATCCTGATGAATGCAGACAGGGATTGGGTGGAGCGAAGGGAAGGATAAGGGGCAGAATTTACTTCTACAATGAGAGGTGAAAAAGAACAGGTGGCCTGTGGGTCTTCCGTCCACCCAAAAGCAACTGTTAGCATTAAAGATCACATTTCCTTAAGTTACTTTCCAGTAAAACAGAAATACAGAACTTGAACAAGTGAGCCAGAGGTCAAAAATATCCCCTAATTTCTGGTTATTTCTCTCAGAAGTAGCACCTGTGAACACTTCAAATCTGGGTAGCTTAAGAATGAAGCACATAAAATTAAAGCCCTCCCAATCAAGACTGTGTAAGTCACCCACACCACAGTGGGTTTTTATCTTGGTCATTTTGTTTCTATAACCCAGTTTGGGAAAGTAAAACCTGTGTATATTCTAGGGTTCCAAATCAAGTTACACCAACAAAGTGCCGGGTACCCAGTCATGAGCGGTCAGGCAGTATCCAGGACCCCAGGTGGCAATTCAGGCCTCTGTGGGAGGTACATGGAGAGGTTTTACAACTTCACTTTTAATGTTGATGGACTTGCCCTCCAAGAAACACACAGTAAAAAATATATGTGGCTCTACATACTCATAACTTAATTATCCTTGGCATAAAGATACATCACTCTTGGTGCTATACAGGAAGAATAAATTATGGACAAAATTTCAAACACAACTCTATCCAGCTGATGGAGGGGAAAGGGCAACTCAGTCTTCGTGGAGATAGGTCCACAGTCTACCTGTCCATCACATTCACATTTTCAGGCTAGGAGTTGCCCTAGTCTTCACAGAACGACCACCAGCTGGCCTTGGAACACACTTGCTGGAGAGAGAAGAGGTGAACAGTCCCAAATGATGCTGGAAACAGAACAGGCTTATCCATTCTCGCCAACACATTCTCATGAGGCATCAAACAGTCCTCTCAAAAATGAAGGGTGTCAAGAAGATAAACCACTGAGTCTTCTGTGGAATAACAATGTCTAGCTTGGGGTATTTCAGTATTTCTTCCCAGTTACAGATGCCCTTCCCAGTTACTTAACAGTAACTAGCCTCAAAAATGCTCCCCCTTTATCTCTTTGTGAATCCACAGAATTTTAGGATTGTTTTTGCCAAAATTAAATTCAAAGAGAGTCTTTTCCAAGTAAAGTACATGAACTTCTCAGAAGAAGTTGCTGTCTTTTAAGGAGTTCCTCTTTAACCCCACAAGGAATAACCCTTACCCAGTCAGCTGGGGTCAGAAGCCCAAATCCACAGCCATCACCCCAGGGTCTTCGCCCTATATTTCACTGGAAGATCTTCAAAGTCAACCAAAACTGTATCTTCAGAGATAGAGTGCCTTCGTCCATAAGGCACCCCAAAAGTTCAGGGGTACTACAGGGAGGCAGAAGAGGTCCAGGGAGGGGAGGGGAAGGGGAATCCTTAAGAAACGTTAAGATTTTCCTCAGCGTTGCCTTCCCCTCGCTGGACAATGGCTGAGAACACCAGAAAAGTTGCATTCATAAAACTGCATAGAGGCTACACCGCCCGAAGTGCTCTGATACCAAACACATGATCCTCTTCCTACTTCATCTTGTCAATACACCTTGCAAGGTTTGTTTTCAAAAAAGACATTACAAGTTGGCGAGCTTCTGCTGGCAAAAGTCAGTCAAAACACTTTCCCTGTCACCTCTGTTAAACCCATCCTATTCCTGAGCTTTATTTCCTTCAAGTAAATAAAACATAGTCAACTTAACACTCCGGGGCCAACAGAGGACAAGGTCCCAGTGTGCATTCAGGCAACGAAAGAAAGAAAGACTTCTCTGCAAATATACAGGAGAACTGAAGACCGTTTGCAGCTGTTGATGATCCATAAAAATATTTCCAGGGTTCTTTCAACAAAAGATTTCTATTCAAGCAAGACCGCAAAGAGGCTGGAGACAGAGTCCTCACTGTGCCTCGGTGTGTGTTTCATCCGCTCGGCCGTGGCTGCTGTTGCCTGCACATGGAATTCCTCGGCCCTCCAATCCTCACACGCGTGAAGCACATTAAAGAATAAAATGTGTTTATGTCACACCTCTTCCGAGAGGTTCAAAGCGCCAAATGTTACCACATGAATCCTCACAACACCCCTGTGAGGTAGGTAGGTGGAGACTATTGTCACCCCCACTTTACAGGTGGGGGAAATGAGGCACACAAGAATTAAGGGACTTGCCCAAAATCACACAGCTCGTCACTGGCAGGGCTTAGAATAAAACTGATACTGATTAGCACCTAGCAAGTGCTTTTGCACATAGTAGGTGTTCACTGAATATCTATGGATTTTATTTGACTTATATATCAGCATACAATATGCACACGTGAAATACAAGCAGCCCCCAGAGAACATCCATCTCCTCCATTTCTTCTGACGGCATCTCTCATGACTTCGAACCCTGCTGGATGAAAGATGTTCAAGAATCCACCTCGCAACTGAGGCCTCGGGCTGAAGAGGATCAGCGTACACACGATCTGTGGACAACCTCTCCTTGCACCTGCTCCACCACACAATGCTAGTTTTCTAATGAAAACAAAAATGGATTTCAGGAACCATGCTGACTTTTTTTTTTTTGCCTGTTTGTTTTAAATGGAGCCATCGAAATGGTTCTGTGTTCTGTTTGTACAAAAAAAGAAATAAGGCTGCTCTAGTCCAGTTAGCTTGTGAGAACCGTGCCAAGCACAGAGATCTCCTCCCAGCTCGGATGGATTTCTACCTGGGAAACAGGACCGACCCCAGAGAGTGGCAGCTCCAACAGAAGAGGGTCAGTGAGGCTGAACGTCACTTGCACTGTTCATGGTCCGTGTAGTCATCCATGTCCACGTCAGAATCAAAGAGCGAGTGTCCCGTGAAATCTGTGTCTGGGGTTCTGGAAAAACTGTTCTCTGCTCCCTCATCTTCAAAGGTCTCTGTCCTTGAGTAAAAGCTGAAATCCAGCAGGGGCGTGTGCGTTTTGCTGCCTTCGCTGCTCTCCTCTGACTCATAGATGGTGTTGTCATCATCGTGATGCCACTCAGGCCAGAATTTCCTCCTTATCCGCTCGCAGTACATGGCAAGATTGATCAGCTCACCTGCAGGGTGGTAGGGAAAGTGAGGGTTAGTTCCCCAAGGCAACAATCTACCAGCCACCTGGCTTTCTGGGAAGTTTAGAAGAATGGGGTAAGGTACACATTAACCATGTTTTTCCACAGAGGCACTGTCAAAACGTTTAGATTTTCATACCCAGAAGAAGAAAGGTGAGTGGGAAAAGTTAAATTCAGTGAGTGGGCTGAATGAAGTTTAGGAGCGAGTCCTACAGTGACAAGAAATGGCAGCTAAACCACCATCATTTCACTTTGTGAAGCATTTTATTATTTTATGTTTGCATATCAAGAGAATTAGTGCTTCAGTGGGTTCACATTTAAATATATTTATAGTCCATGAAAATATACCAACTGTTAGTTGGATTAAGTCAGCCAGAAGTGATCATTCATTCCACAAATATTTGTGGCATCATTATGGGCTGGTTACTATGCCAAGTAGTTGGAAAAAATTAGGTTAGGATGGAAATTTTCCCCTGAATAATCCATAAAGTGGATAAATCATAATTGTCTTTATGGAAGCGTCTGCCTGCAAACACACTTAGTAAAACATATATTTTTTCATTTTTTTAAATAAAATTAAACAGCTGCACCCACGATTGGGTTCTCACTTGGTCACTGGGCTACTTCTTTTTCCTACAAATCAAAGGAACACTTTCGTTCGGTTGCTAAAACTGTCCAGGCATTCGTCTGAAACATAACACAGTATTTAGCTTTCATTTCCTAATTCCAAACGAAAGATGAAGAAAGAGGGTGAGTTTTTGCTTTTGATCCACTAGATGGCAACACTGCTCATAAGTATAGAATTTGTCACTATCTCTTAAAGGACTATTGCCCTAAGAATAGTCTTTGGAATTTTTAAAGTTATATAAACAGTCACTTATTATGTAGGTAACCCATGTTTTATTGCAGAGAATTAAAAAACACAGATAAGCAAAAAATTAAAGAATTATCAATAATCCCATTTGCCATAATAATTTTCACTTATATTCTTCCAGAAATGTATATATTTATACATACATTTACATATTCTTACATTTGCTGCATTGCACTTACTATATACTCTGTTTCCTATACTGCTTTTTCCACTTAATAACATATAGTGAAAACCTTCAAACTTCACTCTATGACCACCTTGATAATTGTAGGGTATTTCATTACACAGATGTGCCACAGTTTCATTTGGTTTTTACAATCCCCTATCACAGCCATTTAGGCTGCTTCTATAGTAATAGCTCTATTGGTAATAGTCTGTAACTACTTTATTTTACCTTCTGTCAAGGAAAGTAATATATACTCATTTTGGAAAATTACAAGTCTGTATATAGAAATGGTATAAACATACATACACGCAGAAAAAAACAATGGCACCTACACTATAATCTCCCCAAGCCAAGGAAACAAAATTAACATCTCAGTGTAATTTCTTTCAGTATTTTTTTCTATTTACTTATTGTTATTATCATCATTACCTACTACCTCCTGGCACATTATAAACATTTTCCCACTAAAATTTTTCAAAACTTGATGGCTGTTATGCTTACATAAACACATTCCCTACAAAACATAATAAGGCAAATCCCCCTGCTTCACGGGTCCTGTAAGCCAGTGGACTTGTCTTGGTTCCAAGTCACCGTTCTCAGTCTTCTCAGAGCAAAACAGTTCAACTCACACGATGTAAGAGTCCATTCTGACTGCCCTCAACACGAAGATTTTCTGTCCACACTCAGGAGCCACAAGCTGAGAAGCCAGTGTCATTGCTCCTTTTGGGCAGATGCACACAGAGGCATGCAAAACTACCACTTAGTCTCTCCCTCAGGGAAGCAGTTACGAGGTACCTCACCAGGTATTGCTGGTAACCAAGAATTAGATAAAGATGTGAAAGCAGCAGCAAGGGGCCACTGGGGGCAGGAAACATCAAAGATGAATTATGGTCACTTCACAGCAGGCCCTGGGACAACCCTGTTTGCCTCAGATCAAGTTCAATCCCAGAAGGTCAGAATCTATTCACGACATCCATGGATCTACACGATATATGACTGTATCCACTTCTTTTGTGGTCATCCTCTCTACACGCTATTTCTTCACCTTTCTTCCAGGAGAGCTGCCGCCTTCACGTCTGTGTGATTAGTAACCATTCAGTGTGTGATAATAAAAATTAATAATAATAGCAAACATGTATATTGGCCTTACTGTATACCAGACACTATTTGAAGTGCTTTATTTATTGATGAATTCATATTAACTCTCACTCCTTAGTCCTGGCAACACTCCTATGAGGCAGGAAGTATTATTGTATTATTTCCTATCTGTAATAGGAAAACTGAAGCAACAGAGAGGTTAATTAACTTGCCTAAGGTCACAAAGCCAGATAGGGGCAGAGCCAGGATTCAAACACAAGCTGTCTCCAGACTCCATGCCCTTCACCATGGCTCTCTTCTGCCTCTCGACTGATGCATTGACAGCCTGGCCTAGGAATTAATATCTTCACACTACCTGTCACAGAGTATTTTTCTGGAATTCATTCTGGAGTCTCAAGAATTATGACGGGACAGGTAAAGATAATGGGTTGTCATGAAGAAGTGATCGCTCTATAATGCAGTCAAGAAAAGGTTTGCTTTGATAAGCAAGGGCTAGGAACTCACACACCCATCCTCATATCTTGCCCCTGATAAAAAGAGTAAAACAAAGAGTGAAAATTTATGGTTGAGTTCTACCTCTATCTGGCTTTGCCAGTCCCTTCCTATGTCTAGATTCTCCATCAGCTGACCCATTTAACATGCTACCAGCCAAAAGGAATGAAAACATTTGGCAGTAGAAACAAGTTGTGTGTAGTGTGTGTGTGTGTGAGACATGCCACGTTAACACAAATGCCTATACTGAAGATGTAAACTTTGTAAAATAATTTTTTAAAACTGCATTTTTTCCAAAGTGTACTCAACAATCAAATAATGTCATCAGACTGGTAAGAATTAAAGGCTGATACCATCCATTGTGGAGGGTCAGGCATTGTACTACAGAGATAGTAGAAGTAGAAATTGCTATAAGCTTTTTAGGAAAGTAATCTGATGTTGTGTATTGAAATTTTAAATGCACATATCTGTTGGCTCAGGACTCCACTTTCAGAATTCTATTCTACTAAAATAAAAGCAGTAATATGTAAAGATCTATGCATATGGATGTCAAATGCAGCACTGTGCCAATAAAAAGAAAAGAAAGATAGAAACAGTTCATCAAAAGGGACTGACTGAATCAATTCTGGTATATCAATTCTATAGAATATTATGCAGCTGTTAAAAAGATAATATTCTATTAAGTGGGGGAAAAAACAACATATATGGAAATGTATATAATGTAACTCCACTGTTTAGTTTTTTAAAAAACAAACTAAAACAGCTATATACATGTATGTAAATTCGTATATGAAAAAAAAAAAAGGCACAGATGGGTCCACGCCAAATCCTTAATACTGGTTTTCCATGGGAGTGATATGGGACACAGATGAGGAGAAAATAATAAATCTTTTAAAATATACCTGTTTAATTCAACTTATTGTGACAATCATGTATTACTTTTTTAATTTAAAAATCCAATAAGATAAATTAGTAAAATAATTAATGAGTGATTAGTGATATTCTTGGACAACTTGAGGGGATATTTATCAGAAAGTCAAATGGCCCACTACCCCAAGGACACTCCCAGACAGAATAAAGAGCTTTTCTCTTGGAGTTTCTCAAATGGAATTACTCCCCACTGCTCTCTGAAAAAAGTGACTCATTTTATTTTCCTGTATCACTCCAGCTCCGCTAATAGTCAAAAGCATCCTGTACAATTTGACATTGAAAACATAGTCAACCAGACCTGGAACCCGGGACTCAGGATCTCCCAGCTGCCAGTCATGGCACAAATCAGAGTGAGGCAAGAGCTTGCCAGCATCTCCCCATACGACTGCCAGCCCTGGGTCCTCCACCAGCCAGTGTCTGGGAAGCAGGGGGCAGGCACCCCCAGACACTTATTTGATCTCCAGGGACTTACTTGGTACCTTCCTGTTCCAGACATGTTCTAGGTGCTTGCTATGCCCTTGGTTGCTCCTGTTAACACTGTGTCACAAAGGCAGTGAGGGCGCCGAACATTTCCTCTTCAGAAAAGTTCTTAGCAAACCTGAATGCCGTAATGAGGACACCCCCACTCCCTCGTCTCCTTGAAGCTCATTCACGGATCTCAAACTACAGAGGCCAGCAAGGTCTTTCGAGCCAGCCCTTCTCTGAGATTCGAATTACTCCAACCTCTTCCTAAACATTTCCGGATGGAGAACAGTCAAAGTAAGGAGGTGGGGGTATACTTGCATGTTTTTCAAGGACAGCCAGCACTTTTTTTCCACCTCTTAATCTATCAAATAATAAACAAAAAAGACATCAAGTACAATAAGTAACTGTTGGTAGAAAGAGTCGCTGAACAGGGTTTGTCTTAAAACACAGAAGGTTGTGTTTCTTACAAATTTAGAAAAATAGGTCAGGTTCTGGTTAGATATGGCTCTCCAGCGAGAGCAGCTGTGAGGCAGAAGCTTTTCCCTTTTGTTGCTTTATTTTCACTTTTCTAGGCTTTCCAGTTCTCCACGTCTGTTTGGAAGAGCGCCCAAACCCACATGCCACTCTCTAATAAGGATACTCTGATCAAAATATCAAATGTGGCTCCACACGAACAGGGCTGCTGGGAAAGACAGGAAATAAATGTTGGTGGAGATGTGGAGGAAAGGGAACCCTCGTGCACTGTTGGTGAGAGTGTAAGCTGGTGCAGCCACTATGGAAAACAGTATGGAGGTTCCTCAAGAAATTAAAAATAAAACTACCATAAGATTCAGCAGGTCCACTTCGTGAAGTGAAGTCCACTCCTTACTGAAGAAGAGGAAAACACTAATTCAAGAAGATACCCACACCCCTCTGTCCACTGCAGCATAACAGCCAGGACACAGAAGCCTCCTAAGTGTCCACTGATAGACGAATAAAGAAGATGTGGCACTTACAATACTATGGAACATTGGTCGTTCATGAAAAAGAATGAAATCTTGCCATTTGTAGCCACATGGATGGCCCTTGAGGGTATTAGCTAAGTGAAATAAGTCAGACAGAGAAAGACAAATATTGTAAGATTTCACTTATATGCAGAACCTAAAAACAAATAAACAAAACAAGACTCACAGATACAGAGAACAGACTGGTGGTTGCTGGGGGGCGGGGGGGCTGGGGAGTAGACAAAATGGATGTGGGGGTCAAGAGGTACAAATCTCCAGTTATAAAGTGACTAAGTCACGGGGATGTAATGTGCCCCATGGGGAATACAGTCAGTGATGTTGTAGTAACTTCGTATGATGACAGATGGTAACTGGACTTACTGTGCTCATTTCAAAATGCACACAGACATCAAATCACTATGTTGTACACCTGAAATGAATATAAAACTGTATGTCAATTATCCATCAATTAAAAAAACTGTTGATGATAATAAAACTGAGATGCTTTTTTACTGTAAAAATGGGGAAATTTTCAAAAGGAATAATATCCAATCCTAATTGAGGAACAAAATTTCAGGTGTTTTCACACGCTGCTCACGAGACTTTCTAGAAAGCAATTTAGCTACAGACCAAGGCTTATACCCTTTGAGACAGTAATTCCCCAACTAGAAAGTTAGCTGAAGGAAATAACCAGAGATAAGCAGAAATATATATTCATACACTACTCACTATAGAATATTAGTAAACATTATTTGAAATAACCCATAAGTCCAGAGAAAGATTAATCATACAAATTGCAATGTAGCCACAGGATAGGATATTATACAACTACTAAATACATTGCTTTGAAGAATATTTAATGACAAGGGAAATGGCCATAATGCATAGCTAATTAAAAACTGCAGATTGTAACTGTATTAGCATCATGATAGCAATTTTTAAAAATGCATACATACATGTACTTGATGAAAGACGAGGAAATATTCCACCACATTAACAGAAGTTCTCTGCGGGTGAGGGGGTCACAAGTTAATTTTTTCAACTTTTCTAATTTTTCTCTAATAAGGAAATAATATTTTACCTCGTATACAAACACATACTATGTATATGTTAAGAACTGCTGAATATCCAAAGTCCACCCTCCTACTCATCTAAA